TAATTATGAGATAGTATCTCATAATGGGGAAGCCCATTTCTGCCACCCTGATAAAAAAACTTGTATCTCATAATTATGACTTAGCTATCTCATTATTATGATATAGTATCTCATAATTAAGACTTAGCTATCTCATTAATATGAGATAGTATCTCATCTCATTATAATGAGATAGCTAAGTCATAATTATGAGATACAAGTTTTATTTTTTTATCAGGGTGGCAGAAATGGGCTTCCCCATTATGAGATACTATCTCATAATTATGAGATAGTATCTCATGATAATGAGATAGCTAAGTCATAATTATGAGATACAAGTTTTTTTTATTTTTATCAGGGTGGCGGAAATGGGCTTCCATACATTATATAATAAAAAGTGCCATACAAACATAAAGTTTGGTAAGTTTCTCATGCAACAGTTCACTTTGCAATTAAAGCTCTCTAATTCAAAATTAGCAGCCCTTTTTTCATATTTTTTTTCAGCGATGCCTGTGATTTATTTTTTATTTTATTCCTATCCGAGGATGGGATCAGTTCAAGTATTTCTTCCGGGTTGGGATGAGGAGAGAGAGATGCAGTTCTCTCTGCTCATCAGCCTCTCCTCAGTCAGACAGRCAGCGGCGGAGGCAGCACGTCCGCCCAGAGACACACAGCTCAGAACCGGTTCCCAGCGACCGAAGAACCCACCGTCACTTTCACGCTCCTCTCACATGGATGTATCCTCCAGTGACGCCTTTTGACGTCCGGACTCGTGGGGGTCGTGTTAAAACTCACCAGCTCAGCTTTATTTATTTATTTTTATTTGTTAAGGGGAGGACTGGTTTATCTCCGCCGCTCGGAGGGAGACACTCTCCCCACATCGTTAGCTTGCTAAGCTAACTAGCCCGCTAACTTAGCGGTGATACTTTGAACCGTATCAACGTCAGTTTTCTGCCTCCTCGCTAGCCTGCGGTCTTTTTTTGCGGCACACTGGCATATCGAGGAGCCCCGTCTCTCCAGGTAAGCGAACTACATTTTATATATGAAAAAGCTAAAAAATATTATTATGCTGTTCTGTTCACCCCTTAAATCCATCCGCTGGTTCGCCTCTGGCCAGCCAGGCAGTAAGGGTCTCCAGCAGCGACAGGCTACGGCAGAGAGAGGTCCGTGTTGACAGAAGCAGCCAAGCAACGGGGCTGTGATGCGTTTAACACGCTCATTTTCACTTTACCACCCGGCTAATGGCGTGTTCTCTTGAACACATTTAAATACGTTTATGTAAGATGACATTTTGTCAGTAATTGTAACACTAAAAAAAAAATCTAATCTATAGGTTCAACCTTGACTGCTGATTTGCGGTGAATGGGCCACTGCCAGGTTAATATTGTCTCTCACACKACTTCATCTCGTTCTTTGCCGCATCTCAGCTGCAGCCTGTTGTCCTAACGGTTTATTTAAATGGCAGTGACAGCTATCTGACGTCCTGCCTCGACTATCGACCCATTCAAAGAAATGGGAAAGTAGTGCATGCTCAAAGTTGACCCCACACGCTTACAATAGTGTGTATGTAACTTGTTTCTTCCTGGTGGTTGTTTCCTCTTTCTTATTTTCCTCCCTTTTGATCATTTGAGCCTCCAGTGTTGCATCACGGTTAAAACAGCCTAAAACCTCTTGTTTTGTGGCTCTTCTGTCTCTTGAGTCTGTTAGAGGTCAGATCGTGCCTCTCAGCTTTTCTCTGAGAGGAAAAATAGTGAATATGATGAACATGTTTGTGTTGAGTTGCAGCTTTGGAACCGTCCGTCTGTCCATTCATTTTCTTCCGCCTATCCGGGGTCGGGTCTCGGGGGCAGCAGTCAAAGCAGAGAGACCCAGACTTCCCTCCCTCCAGCCACTTGGACCAGCTCCTCTGGGGGAATCCCAAGGTGTTCCCAGGCCAGCTGAGAAACATAGACCCTCAAGCGTGTCCTGGGTCTTCCTCAGTGGGACGTGTCTGGAACACCTCACCAGGGAGGCGTCCAGGAGGCATCCTAACCAGATGAACCACCTCAACTGGCTCCTCTCAACGTGGAGGAGCAGCGGCTCTACTCTGAGTCCCTCCTGGATGACTGAGCTTCTCACCCTATCTTTAAGTGAGAGCCCAGACACCCTGCAAAGGAAACTCATTTTACCTGCTTGTGTCCGTGATCTCGTTTTTTCGGTCACTAYCCAAAGCTCGTGACCATAGATGAGGGTAGGAACGTAGACTGACGGGTAAATCGAGAGCTTCACCTTCTGGCTCAGCTCTCTTCACCACGACAGACCGGTACAATACCCGCTTCACTGCAGATGCAGCACCAATCTACCTGTCGATCTCCCGCTCCATTCTTCCCTCATTCGTGAACAAGACCCAGAGATACTTAAACTCCTCCACTTGGGGTAGAACCTCTTCTGCGACCCGGAGAAGGCACCCTACCGTTTTCCGGCTCAAGACCATGGTCTTGAATTTTGAGGCACTGATCCTCATCCCGGCCGCTTCACACTCGGCTGTGAACGGCTCCAGTGAGAGCTGGAGATCAGGATCTGATGAAGCCAATAGGACCACATCCACAAAAAGCAGAGACGTGATCCTAAGGTGACCAAAAAGGATCCTCTCAACACCTTGGTTGCTCCTAGAAATTCTGTCCATAAAAGTTATGAACAGAATCGATGACAAAGGGCAACCTTGATGGAGTCCAACTCTCACCGGATACGAGTCTGACTTACTACCGGTAATGTGGACCAAGCTCTGGCACTGGTTATACAGGGACCTAACAGCCTGTATCAATGGGCCTGGTACCCCATGCTCCCGGAGTACCCCCCCACGGGAGTCCCCGAGGGATACGGTCGAACGCCTTCTCCAAGTCCACAAAACACATGCAGACTGGCTGAGCAAACTCCCATGCACCCTCCAGGACCGCTGTTCCACAAAGCAGCTGTGGAACTTTAAATATATTTAAATTACATTCAGAGTATTTGAGTCTCGTGGAAACTTTTCATAGGTTTTGGTTTGAGTGGTTGGGGCTTCACTGCTGTGTGTGTGTGTGACCATTGATTGTGCTTGAGTGAGCATGCATTAACAATGCTGTAATTATCTTAAAAGATAAGAACATTGATTTACACTATCAATCCAACAGCTGCCACAATCGCAACGAAGGTAAAGATGTATGATTGACAGAAAACCTATTTATCATGTTGTGCTCCTTGACGGGAGAAACATCCTCTGTGTTTAGGGTTTTAAGTGTTGTAGAACGGTTTGTGTGTCTTTATAAAACCTTTRGTAATAGTATGTTTATGAACATTAACTGAAACTTCAATAAATTTGATGACAACGTTGATTTCCATGACAATAATGTCTGGGAAAATGCTTCCAGATATCGTTCATGTTTAAACAGGGCCTCAGTCAAACCTTGTAATGATTGTGTGATATCACGCAACAAGATCTCTTGTGATCTACCAATTCAGATTTTCGCCCATTATAAAAAAAAAATTACTATTACGTCTATTTTGTTTGTGGCTAAGGTCAAACAGATAGTGTAATCATTGCCTCCAACAATCTAACCATTCACTTTATGATTATCTTCTGAAAGCTTTTAAGAATCCATCATGAAATATCTTGCTTGCAGGCAGACTTAAAGGTATTTATTGGTAACCTGGTAAAAACCAGACCCTTGTCCTTCACTTTGCTTCGTACAGAGGGTCTGGACTTGCTGCTATTGAGAAGCGATTCTTGCTGGAGGCGTGGCCTCTGCTGAAGCGTGTGTGTTGTCGCTGTGAAGGAGGCGAAGCTAAGAAGCTAACCGGAAATHGCGTGTGCTGTAAACAACCCTACTGAGAGGAGAAATATACCGAGCTGAACGAGACGACTGTAAATGAGAGCTGCTGCTTTGTCAGACAAATTTAATTTAATTTGGAAGCCTTATCAACACAGACTGGCTTCATTCACTTCCTCCACTGCCGTATGCTAAAATAACTAGCAGACACTGCGCAGAAAATCGACTTCTTTCAAAACTCCTCCTTCTGTTCTCTGATTGGCCCAGGTAAAATAAACCACAAGCAGACACTGCACAGAAAATCGACGTTCTGTTCTCTGATTGGCCCGGCTAAAAATCTGCCAGCGAAATCCTTGTCTATGGGAGAAGTCCCAGACGGAGCAGTGAAGGGAAACTAGAATTGAGCGGAGCTGCGTAGGAAGGCCAGGGCCAGGCTAATTTATTGGTGACATTTTAAACAAAGCTCTTGCGCAATCAGTGGCCAGAAATGCTTTAGGAATCAGTCTCAGCTRTAACACAWCATTTTAGCTCAATAAAACTGACCAAGTCATAGCCACTTCATGCTTATAAAGRTCAGCCCATCTTGAATTCGGTTKACTSCAAAGTTARTCAGTTGTAGATGTCCAATTATTGCTTTCTGCTTGTTTGCAGTCTTGCCTCGGTGCTGTTTAAGTGAACCCGGTCTCCTGTTAAACCACAACTGTCAAGCACCAAAAGGAAATGAATCATGTTCCTCATTTCAAGGCCGTTGAGTCGCTAGATGTGCTTCCTGCCCTGACTCTGTTCAGGCCWCAGCAGATGTGTTGCCTTGGGTTTATGCCCAGATGTGTGACGATAGTTTAAAATGTTTTTTCCAACTACATCAGTTTTTTTTAGCTGTTATTGGGGTGAATTTAAAAAGTTTGTTATACATGCATGACTGTGGTACGTACWTTGACACATTTTGTACACAGGTGGTTCTAATTCTTAAAATGGCCTGTATTTAGTTTWTTACATTTAAAGCTATAGTAGCTGTCAAAATCTTCAAAAGTAATTTTAATAATTTAACTCACAGTGTAGTGAGATAATCGGCAGCTTTAGTGCTTTGGTAGAAAAGTTTGTGAGAACTGGATTTTGTCAAATGTTAACTAGAGAAATTGAATTTCCTGCGAAAATGCTAGTGTGAATACCAGTTGCTGAAAACTTTAGCTGAAAGTTGCTGAAATTGACCTGAAAATGTTTAACAGCAAAAGTATTATTGTAAGTTAAACTTGATAAGCTGAAAGAAGCWAAATAAATGCAGAAAAACAGTAAAAATGAACAAAAATACAGCTGAAATAGCATAAAGAAGCTAAAAGCTAAAATAGCTGAATAAAGCCGAAAGCAACTGTAAGAAGCWCAAAGAACTCAAATTAGCATAAATTAGCTAATACCTGCTAAACATTAGCTAAAAGTGCAGCAAGTAGTTGAATATAGCAGAAAGCATCGTAAAAAAGTAAATAGCACAAAAAACTAGAAAAAGGCTGAAGAATAGCAGAAAGAAGCAGAATTTTAGCTGAAATAGCAGAAAAAGCTAAAATTAGCAAAAAAGTAGCTAAAATTTGCACAGTCGAGTAAAAAAGAGCATAACCAGAACAAACTGTGTAAGGTTTTGTAAAGATTTAGAAACAATTTGAAGGATTTTATGGGTGTTGAAAATAACTTTATTCATTTTAAAAGGCAAAAAAGTGGTTAAAGAAGTGAAATAGCTAAAAAAAGTATAAATAGCTGAAATAACAAAAGTCATAGCAGGCATGGCATGAAAGAGCTGAACGTTTTGATATATGAATTGTTGAAATAGCATAAAAATTGTGGAACTAGAAAGGGGCCAAATAACGTAAGAAAAAAATGATCTCAGTAGTGTGAATGCTGTAAGGTATTCACACTGATTAGATGGCTTATGTATGAAGGAAATGCCCAAAATACAATCTTAAGGAGTGTCATGAAGCACGTTTCTGAGCAGTAGCTACCAATCAATAATAATTGTGAGCATTAAAATGCCCCAAATTATCACTACTTTAATTGCGCACAAGCAAAGTTACTTTCAAAACCAGCTGGGAAATCTCAATAGCCGGTGGTTTGAGGTTTCCTCTTTCAGTAAATGCAAACAAATTCTCATTATAATACACAAAAATAGAATTCAGACGATTTTCYACAGCAAATACGTGAAGTTCTTATTTTGAAAAGAAACGACGACTAAAAGCTGTAGCAGAA